AAATCCGTGAAGTTTTTATCTGACAATTATAATTGCCATATGCCAGAATGTATGTTGAAGAGAACCTTAACATTCAGATTTGCATTCTTACGTTCTGTAAGATTAAATTAAGAAATACTAACATAAACAAGATTAGGAATATTTAAAAATCACAAAAGAATTTTTGTGATTATGTGAACATATTCAGTTTACTATGTGCATATATTTAGTCTGTGTGTGTGTGTTTCCCAAGTGGGAGGAAAGACCCAGTGTAATGAAGAATTATTGCTGTGTAAAAGTATAGGAATATCTCATTGGTCATAATGTCTATTGACAGGCACTTTCAGCTTTTAATTCATTTCTGAAAATGGGCATTAGCTTATTCCTATTGCCAGTGTAGATTCATTTAACATGTGGCCATAACCATAGCTCTTCATCTTGTCAACATGTAGCTACTCTTCAAACTCTTCATTCCCTCTGCAATTAAACAAGAATAAACACCTCACCGTTGTTTTGTTGTTTTCCGTTCTCGTCAAGAACTAGTTCGAAAGGGGAGCCTGGGTGGCTCAGTCCGTGAAGAACTAGTTCATTGAGGAGGAAGATAATGGAGAAAAGAGAGCAATTGCTAGAAGCTTCTCTTTAGCACAAGTAAAATCCGATGCAGCTATTTCCCCTTTCCAGGCAAAGACATTTTGAATTTGGAATCAGTTGTTTGCAACTTAAAATGACTTCATTGTGTTTTAAACCATCCTGGCTAAATGGAGACGAGTGGCCACTCCATTTTGTCAGAGCACAAGGAATGTGCTCTGCCAAAGGAGAACAGAGTTCCCATGGCAATATTGCTAATTGTAAGATATACAAGGCATATCTGAACAAGTTTCTTTTTTTTTATTGTGATGAAAACTAGAAGCTCTTTTTTTTTTCCCAACATACTTCATCAAACTATTTACAACCTCTGTAAAATTTGCGAGTTTGAAAATACTTTTCCACTATCACATATGTTTACGAATACAGCAAAATATTTTCACTCTATTTTTTTTTAAGATGCAGTATCCTCCTATTTCATTTTCTTACGAAAATCTGAATTTCTATTGCAACTGCACAGTATTCAGCATAAAGTACCAATGGACATGGGTTGCTAAACAGACATTACTCTATAATGAAGCTGTGAAAATATAGCATTTTTAATTTTATATGTACACCTCTTAACTATAAAATGCAGGCAAAGTCATATATAGCATCATAAGCTGATTCCCTAATAAGGTAAATAACTTACATCTCTAGACAGCATGGACTATTACAAATTCATTCTTTTAAAAAAATTCTTTGTTGATATTTGCTGGCCCACTGGCTGCTGTGTATGCTGGCGTGTGTGTGTTGGGGGTGCCTGTACGGGTAAGTGGAACGCAGTGTGGGGACAAGCAGAAATGCATATGGAAGACGTGACTTACCAAACCCCTTTCCTAGATGAAACCAAATCAAATTGAAAGACTAGTTTTAATGAGATGCCCTACCTCGGAAAAACTGAAGGAAGAGATCTGGGCAATGAAGTTAGAGAATACATTCACTTCCTCCATGTACAGGCGTGAGTGCAGAGCGGAAGCGGAGGCTGGGCTATGGACTATGAGTATTAAGGCTTCCCGGGCCTAATGTGATCGGTGGGAATTCTCTCCCGCTCAGTCCCTTATGTGAAAACTCAGCATGTCGTGGGTGCTGGCATTTTGAACACTGCTGAAACTGTCCGTCCTCGCTGTGTGAGGACACCTTTATAACAACATCGTGGCCACATTTCTAAGCAGTCATAACAACAGGACAAAGGCGATTAGTTAGTATATCTGAAGGCCTCACCTCACCGGATTTATTCAATGGCAGCTTTGGTACGTATAATAAATAAAGTACAGAATAAGGAATACTGCATCTTTATCCATATACATGTCACCGTTCGAATGAACTGATTTCAAAGTGCAGAATTATATTTACGTTTAAAACACAAGTGGCAAAATTTGAAGTTAAAAAAAAAAAGGTGTATAAAAGGGAACACAATCTTTGTATAAGCTATTCCAAATTTCAACCACAAGGAGAATGGCCTTTCTAATCACCTAGAACTGGCATTTGTAAACACTGTAGCATCTTATAAGTTCGTACCCCTCACGATCTTCTTCCTATTTTCCACTTAAACTCTCAAGTGAATAAAAAGTGCTCTTTTTAAAAATGCAATTTGTATTACTGTTGCTCCACTGCTTTTGAAAATAAATGTCCTATAGTGTTTTGTCGAAGGGACGGCAGGCAGTAGGATACTCCTTATGGGAAAGCCATTAGGAAGTTTAGTCTAAACGTCTTAATAGAACTTAAGACAAGCTATCAAGCAGGCTTCCCGGAGTCCACACATAACTAACAGGACGGGGCCGGAGGCCGATGGGGAAGCGTGAGGCTGCTTCCTAACAACTTAAGGTCAGAATACGGGGAGGGAATCTGTTAGAACCTCAGGGTAACCTGTAACTTTTCAAAGAACATTAACTGCCTTGAACTCCGTCTCTACAACACACAGAGACCTCCAGGCCTACTGCAGCTTCTCAAGCCACCATGGCCGTCTGTGGAGAAGTTCTCAAACACGCGCACACGTCCAACTGCGAACTGAACAGCTCCAGAGTTAAAACCAAAGAATGCTTCTAGTTTGGGATGGACAAGTCCTGTGGATTCTGTGCCTTTTCTGGTGTTCATCATCTACTACTGTGCTTTTCTAAAAGAGGCTAGAATGAACACAGATGAAATGAGGAGGCTTCTTCATGCCTGAAGATACTCCTACCTGAAAACCCAATTCCTTCTCTCCCCAACTGCTTTCCTTTCCGAGGGGAAACATTAGTAGAAAACTCACCAGGGAGAATTTGTTATGTTCCAGGACGAGCCCCAGGGAAGTTTCAGTCCTGGGGTGAGATCAGCAACTCACTCACTCACTGTTTGTGCTTGGATCCCTCTTTAGAAGTATCGAGCATGTCAAGGGGGCGGAGGGGGGTTGGGAGATGGCGGAACACCGACAGTTTTAGCGGTTAACTTACCATCTCAGTCTGATTTCCACTCTCAGAGGGTGAGGAGAAAAAGCTTACTTCCCTGAACCTTTCCTATGTGATCGGAGAGGAGCAGCCCGTTTAGTTCTGTGCTAAATTTAAATCAAGCCGTCGCTCAGGAAACTCCCACTGCCTGTCAGTTCTATGAATTCTAAAAACCGTTTCTACCTGTGACACTCTCAAGACATCTCTGTGCAGAGAAGAGATCGGCCCATCCTCTGAGAGAAGGCAGAACGGAGTCAAGTCTACACCGCTGCTGGGTGATTCACCTACTGACTGCCAGCCAGGTTCCAGGACCAGGAAAAGGGAGGGCGGCTCGGCTGTGTTGGCCACTCTCCGTGTACTTTGCCAATGACCAGGAACCAGTGCTAGAATGCAGCAAGAGACCCTTTTCTACCCAAAATGGTCACAGGCAATAAGAAGTAGGAATTGTATACAGTACAGATAAAAAACTTTCCAGTTGGTAAAAAACCAAAAATCCAAAAAACCAAAGAAAACAAAACAACCCCCCCCACAAAAACAAAAAGCCAAAAAAACAAAAACAAAACAAAACAAAACAAAACAAAAAAACCACACACAAAAAAACAGTGCTTGGTGGGTAATAGATGTTGTAGCAAAAGAAGTTATTTATCAATAGACTCGAAGCCCTTGTTCGAGGGAAATTGCCTGATGAGTTTTTCAGACCTGGCAGAAAATGCAGAGCACATAGTTTTGAAGATAGAATTTGACCTGAACATCATTATGCTGTTGCTTGAACATTTAAAACAATTCCTTTTAATACCATCCAACACGAATTGTCTTTGTTTCAACGTTTTATCGTTCCTTGCTTCGTCAGAATAAGATTCTCTGAATTAGGGGATGATCCTAAAAAGGACAGTTCTGCCACCGGAAATTATTTCAGAATGTTCAAACATTTAAAAATGAGCTAGGAATATTGTGAGGTTAATTTGTGCAATTCCCCAAATCAAGTGTTTGTAATTAAAATACATTGCAAAGGTCTATGCTGGCAAACTTTTATATCTAAGCTATAAAAAATCTTAACAACGACAACAATAACAGAAAAAGTCACCAAGCCCCTTAGCCACGTAAAGCTGAAAGAAGAACAGCTTTTAGTGGGGAAAAAAAAATATGATAATTTTTCTGAAAGAATGCTTGTTGGTGATGTATTGCTTTGTTTACTGTATACTCCACTAGTTGCAAGAAAGGCTCATTATTTTAGGGGGTTGATGGGACTGTCATCTCCCCTCACCCTCAGCACGGAATGAGTGGGTTCAACATCCCTGTCTGTGTCAACGCAGAACCCCTGGGGTCTGATACAGTTTAGAAAATGAAATCTGTATAGAAGAACCTAAATGGAGAGTCACTTAGCCTTGGCTCTCCAAGTGAGGAAACTAGCACCATGTTAGGCTTTCCTCGGGGAGCACTCCCTTTCCACTGACTCGGTTCCAAGGAGGACTGACCCCTTAACCCAAGGGTTAATTCCCTGCTATGCCTCCTTGGCCTTTCTGTTCACCAAATAACTGTTTTCAAACAAGAAAAGGGGAGCATAATCTTTAATTGTGGTACTCGACCAAGCAGGACAACAAAATCAGCAGAAAGATTACCTCAGTGCTGTCCCTGCAACCAAGACCGCTAAACCACTGGGGTGTTTTTTACAATCCCTTTAGTAAGTATGAAAATTGTGGTAACGTGAGTCCTCAGTGAAGTTATTGTAGGAAAGTCCTTTTATTCATTATTGCTTTTCTCCTCAAGAGGCGCTTTATCCCATCTCTGCTTTGTCTGATTTTTCATGTTCACTGACTTTGCCCGAGCAGCCCCACCTCTTACCTTGGTGCCAGTGTGTCTAAGAAAGTTTTTTTTTTTTTTCTTCCCCCTGATTCCTTGTAATCAAATACTAGGGACAGGAAGAGATGATGCCTAGGTGACAGGACACTGCGATTTGAAGTGGGGCAGTAGTTTTTTTTTTTTTTTTTTTTTTTTTTAGACAGGCTCTTCCTATTCAACTACAGAACACCTCGGTGCCGGTCCACGCCAGGGCAGACGCTGGCACTACGCTCCACCTGAAATGTCGCTGCCCCTCTGCTCCAACAGATGAACAGAACGGAATCGAAACAAAACAGAAACAATCAACGACAAACAAATGAAAGATTCAATGTCGGTTTCTCTTCAGGGCATGGCCTAATGACAAGTGGCGGGTGGCGCTATTGCCAAGGGCCGCCTGAGTGCCCCTTTCTTTTCAGGTCATGGAACTCTCCAACAGGCTGCTTCTTCTCTACTTTCATGCTGCTCGCTGGAAACAGACTGGATGTGTGTTCTAGCTTACTGAGACAGGAACTAAAATTTCAGTAAAAAGAAGGGGGCAGGGTGGGGGGGTGGGTGCGGGAGAAGAATCCCAATCTGAAAGGTCCTGCTCTAGCCATCGGCTGGTGATAGGTGACCTTTAAGGGATCGATAACAAAACGTCTGACAGCTCAGAAAACGTACAAGCTACAAACATCCTGAAACGGCAGAGTACACGGCACGGGGAAACAGTGCCTGTCTCCTCAGCGCTTGTGTCACGGATCTCCCAGGCCAGCGTGAAGACGTTTCTCGTGCAGTCGCGATGGGGGTTACCTTCAGACCGAAAGGAGAAGGGTTCCTTCTTGTTCCTGCTCTGGTTTCAGACATCGTGGGATGGTGACGCCCTTTTGCGTTAACACTGTGGAGGGGATTCAGCCCTGCTGAATGGGGTGCCGCTAAGAGACCCAGCTCTTACGCTCAAGCTGGACGGGACGCACTCCTCACACCAGCATGTGCCTCCGGCGGTGCAGGGCCAGGTGGTCTGACCGGGAGAAGCTGCGATCACAGTCCGCGCACTTGAACGGCTTCACGCCCGTGTGCTTGCGGTAATGCCTTGTCAGCTCGTCGGAGCGAGCGAACTTCCAGGTGCAGCCTTCCCAGGTACACTTGTAGGGTTTCTCTCCTGGAAGAAAAAGGGACACACGCTTTGGGTGCTCCGTCACTTGCCCCCAAGAACCAAGCCAGCACTATGTGTGGGGACACTGTCCCTCTCCGTGGGGTTTCCGTGTGGTCATCTTTGGTCGGGAAGCCTCTGCACCCTGCCAGCGGGGTGGGGAGGGGTGGAGGAGGTCAGTCAGGTGGGGGCAGGGAGCGCGTTCCATGTCCTCCCTCCTGTGGTGACATCTGGCCAGTTAGTTCATTAACACTTGCCTCCTCGGTGACGGGGACGGTACTTTACGGTCAAAGCATCCAAAGGGCCAGACTGATCGCTACGGGATATAACCACAACCGCTTGACTAAAAAGGCTTTTTAGCTCTCTGACTAGGCTGATTTGGCTCTAATGCTGACACTCACGAAGAACTATATAGGGTCATTAATTACATTTGGTTTCAATACCCCTCCCCAAATGGGCATCACTTAGACGGTTTAAGGCTATTTTAGGACACAATGTCCATTTATCGGTCATGGGGAATAGGCACAAAATCTCGTCGAAAGGTAAAAGCATTCCGCCGCTCCCCAGAAATTAGGTATGAATGAAGCACATGTCACTCATAAACATCTAGTTTTTGCTTGTCTATTGGAAAAGAATCCTAGATAGCTTACAAGTGTAAAGTTTAAATACTCTTTTCAGTGATTTAATTAGGGTGAGCCCTGAAGAATCATCAAGTTGGTTTCAGTGTTGAAACTCATGGTGAAAAGCCGTCTGAAGAAGTATGTAATTTGACCGGGTCTTTCAGTCAACTTGTAAGGACGGTAAAATATGCAAAGGCTTTGCTGGGAAAAGATACAGTATCCATTGTCCAAATGAACTCCCACGGGGAGAGAGACAATGGTTGACCCAGGTGTGGGTTGTTTTTTGTTTGTTTGTTTTTTTTTCCTGGCTCTCATTCAGAATTGATGCCCTGTCCCCATGCAACCCCACAAAAAGTGATCTCTCCTGTTCCTCCCATCAAATAGTCAACAACAGGCATCCTGGCCACACACAGTCTTTGGTGAAAAGGGCCTAAGATAGGAAAGGGAACTTTTTGCAGATTCCTATGCATAGAGCTGGAGGGTGAGTATTTTTAACCCCACTTTACAGCTGAGAAAACTGAGGCTCAATGTAGTAAGGTAACTTGCCAGTGTCAGAAGAAAAAAATGTACTTGGCTCCAAATCCAGTGCTTTTCACTGTGCTGCAGTGGAATGCATAGTTTTTTCCCATGTAAACTTTGTCACACCCTCAAAGTTATTTCTACTTTCTCAGGTATTCCCAAATCATTCATTTCTTACTTATATCATGTATCGCAACGTATCATAAAAGTTTTATTCAGATGCCTTTCTCCTCCACCTGTTTCTGAATACATGGAAGTCAGTGCCTCTACCATTTCAATATCCTTGGAGCCTAGAGTAAGTATCAAACAAATGCTTGTATGAATTAGTGAAACTCACACACACACACACACACACACACACACACACACACACACACACACAGAACCACTGAACCCTATAAATGAGCGGACAAGTGATGCCTACATGGGAGAACCAGTCTGAACTGAACCCAACAACTTTCATTCAGCCCTGAAATAAATGCTATCTATACGGGTCTTTTTAGGATCAAGTGACCCTTTCAGAAGGGAGTGAATAGCACAGACCAGTTCAATCTAGAAATATTGATGCACTAACTGTGGGCCTCAGAAAGCTCCAGGTAACTCTGGAAGGGCTCCTTTCAAGGAGAAGCCTACTCAGTGCAATAACCTAAAACCTCAACCGTTGACTCATTCTAGATGCCCTACAGAGACAAAAATCTTCATTCGCAGGTGTCTACTGACCAAGTTGATCAGAAATTAAAACAAACAAACAAACACAGAAATCAGAAGCCCTAACTGAAAAAGATTGAGGGTCTCCTACATAGTATATTAATGGCAACTGTTACCATGCTTTTATTTACATGTCCTCCCTGTGTGTTTGTGAATTCACATCAGGAGCATGGGTTCCCACAAGCTGAGCTTGACATAAATCATGATTTCAAAAACACATCCATCTTTGGGACACTGTGCTCAGCTGGTGGCCTCTGTCACTAACAGGCATCTCCCAGTCCTCTCCAGACTGGAACCAGTCCAGAGTGTAAGGTTTGGAAAGGAAAAGAATAGTCGGTTTTCTTAATTGAAGGATGGATGCTCAAAGTGTCATATATGTATGACTCCCTTTACCATTCTGGATAGAGAGGAAGGGGACCCATAGGTGGGATAAGCCTGGAAAGTAAGTAGAGGCCAGGAAGGGGACGAGAGCCTCCAGTGTCATCTCAGGAAGGATGGTAGAGTTTCGAATGGCCCACCATGGGGACAGTTTATTGTCTCAGGTGTTCTCGGAATTTCCTTGAACACCGGGAGTAGGCACTTAATATTCTCTAATTTCTTCCTCACAATTATAATAGTATAACTTTTCCTTCCATTTTGGCTGTTTAATAATGACACTTATGTCCTTTCTACTTGAAAATCTACAGCAGAGAGTGGCTCTTCGGGGCTAAATCTAGTCTGTGGCCTGCTTTTTGTGCAATATTTGAGCTTAGAGTGGTTTTTATACTTGGTACGTGGTTGGGGAAAAAAAAATCAAGAGGGCTATTTCACAGCATGTGAAAATTACATGAAATTCAAATTTCAGCATCCATAAATAAGTTTTTGTTGGAACAGGAGTCTCCATACTGTTTCAGGCTGTCATGCACTGAGGGTAGAACCGAGCCCTGCAACAGAGAACGCGTGGCCTGCGGTGCCTAGAAATTTACTATCTGGCCCTTTGCGGAAAGTTTACTGACCCCTGGTGTAAGGGGTCACCTGAGCCTTCCGCAGGCTTCCTGATTATGTTAACTTACTGAATTGGGATACATAATGCACATTGTCAATTTGGGATGGGTGGTGAGGGAATATTTGGGCTTTAGAATAACCACTTATTCTCCTCATAGGACCCCATTTAAAATTCTAAGAGCCCACTCAGTAATAAATACATATGATACGGGCAAGGAATGTTATGCTTAAGCTTTTATGGATATTAAAAAGAAAGTATACCTTTTTATAAGAAATTTGCAAGGAAAATTCACTTACCACTCAGACAATTAAGTTTACTCTTATCTGGTAACCAAAAGAACAATGATTCTACACAACCCCTTTACAAGGTCACTGTGAACCTTGACCAGTTACTATTCTACTGAGTCTGGGAAGGAAGGCACAGGAGGGAAGGATCAGAAAGAGCTTAGCTGTATGGCATCGTTTCTAATATGGATACTTCAGGAGATGGGGCACAGGGGAAGCAGTAACTGATGGTAAGGCTTTCTTCTGTAAGCCCACAGAGGCGGAGCAGGAAAATTGAGTGCAAAATCCAAGTATTCTGTGAGGTGGAATCCAGGGCAGTAAGCAATCAGGAAAGACAAGGCTGGGTGAGACAGGTAAAGCGGGTCGAAAGGCACAAACTGCCAGTTACAGAGAAACAAAGTCATGGGAATACACGGCAACAGCAGGGTGACTATAGTTAGTAACACTGTATTACATATTTGAAAGTTGCTAAGAGAGTAGATCTTAATGAAAAGTTCTCATCACACACAAAAAATCATCTGTATCTGTGTTGACAGATGTTACCTACACTTACTGTAGGAATCATTTCACAACCTATACAAATACTGAATCATGTCGTACACCTGAAGCTGATTTAATGTCAGTTATATCTCAATAAAAAAAAAAAAAGACAAGGAATAGCTCTCAAAAATACCACAGGCAGACATGTCCCTGCTCTTGAATAAAACCACTGCAAATAATAAATAAGTTGATAAGTTATTAAGGGGCTAAGCGACGAATAAAGGCATATAATGAAGAATGTAAACCTTTTCCACTAGGGAGTGGGGAGGGAGAAAGCCTATCAGAAAAGAGTAAGCTTAACTGAGTGATAAGTGAATTTTCCTTGCAAATTTCTTGTAAGAAGGTATACTTTCTTTTTAATATTCATGAAAACTTAAGCATAATATTCCTTGCCCCTACTGCTGCATTAATAGAACTGGAGTTTGGGTATTCTCTCCCCATGCTTAAAATAAAGAGGGAAAAAAGAAAATGATTATCTTCTAATCTCTCTTCAAAATTAGAGGCTGAGCTATGGGGGTGGTGGAGGAGATGGCCACTCTGACCAGGTACAGGGCTGACCTCTGCCCCTCACTCAGGAGAGAACTAGGGTTTGATTATACCTGCCCACTACCTAGCATTTTATTAAAAAAAAAAAAAAAATGCTCTTTTTGGGCCAGTCAAGTTCTAGAAGTAGATACCAGAAAAATTTAGTGGCCATTGTATTGTATTCAGCTATACATTGTATTTTACACTTGTGCTTTAAAGCAGTTTAAAGGATATGATCTTACAAGCAAATTAGGGTAACAGAAACTTCCTGATGTGAGTAAAAACTTATTAAATGATAAATATGTTTGTAAGATGTATTGCAGTATGCATAAATGAACCCCGAAAGGATATAATGAGCAGAAAGAATCTTTCTTCCACCCTGTCTTCTTTCCTTTAAAATCTTCCTAGAAAATAAAAAACCCTAAATTTAACGTTAAGAAGTCAGCGTGGTCGGTGCAGAACGGTTAAGTGTATTTTCCACAACAATTTTCCTATGGAGAGAGTTGGCTTGGGCGATGAGAGGAGTCAGTCATCTCCCAGTCTGTGCTTCTCCGTCACACAGCTGCTGGGCATCGGGCTGAATTACAGTGACAGTAAACACGATTTCCAGTAATTTCTGTAGGAACTGTGAACTGCCCTTCAACGCGTTTGAATTGGATTTCAGCAAATGTGTTATTCAAACCTGTTTTCCCTAGAAATAAGCTGAAAATAAAAATAGCATGCCCACCTTCTTCCTTTTGTCTAATTCACAAGTACACTTAGAATCCCGAGAGGCAAATCTCTGAAAGCATGGTTAATAGCCCTCAAAATAATGGGAAGTTTTGACTC